TTGGGATGGTGGTGGCTTTCAAATGTTGATAATCTCTGGTTTAAATTTCTATTCTGTATTTGATTTTTAAGTTCTTCTGAAACCGTTGTGACTAATTTTATGGCTAGCTTGCGCACTCTTTTCCTGACTGATCTAGTCCCTTACTTTATTGGAATCTCAGTTTTTGCATTTTAAATATGAGTTTGATTGAGGTCATCAGTTTTCTCCTTGCTAAAATTCAGATGAAAGGGAAGATATTCTTTATCATGCTATCAGCATTGGTCCATTATTCAGTTTGAGAGAGAGAGAGAGAGGGAGAGAGAGAGAGAGAGGGAGAAAGAGAGAGAGAGAAAATGAGAACCACTAGTACCTTTTGTTCTTCCTAAAGCAGTGTCCACTTTGTTCATCCAGGGCTCATCAGTAGGGGAGAGAAGTGAGTCCACCTGAAGCCTGGCCTGGCGTGGTGATTGAAATGTTATCTATTACGTGCCAATGTTAAAGGCACTAGCACTGATTATGTAGTGGCCCAAGGTCGATGAGAAGCCGGAGGAGCTGACGTGGCAGTGAGGAGGGAGGGGTCTGGGATCAGTGTTCACCCCCGACCAGCTCTGAAGATACCCAGGGTTCAGGACCGTGGGCTTAGGGTGGGGATGGAAATAAACCCAGAGAGGATGAGCTACTCCTCAGGGACCTGTTAGTTCATGGTCATCGAGCATCCGCCAACATTTTATCTACCTATCTCCTAACTCCCAAGTCCCGCACTTTCTATCTTATCAGGCTCATATCCTATAAAGCAGTATTTTATGTGTGAAAACAATGACAAAATGTTTAATATTTACTTTCTTAATCAAGTGGAGACTATAGATACATGTATGACCCTCATTCATAAAATTAATTTTAACCAGCTCAGCTTATAGTACATACTGTATAATAAGTGCACATAACATTTTTGGGAATACCATGAAGAAGAAAGTATTCTAAGAAGAGTGTTTTGGAAAGAATTAATGGAGGGGTGATATTTTGATCTAGGCCTTGAAAAGTGATAGTCAGACTTGAACCTGAGTAAAGTCACAGGGTGAGAACACGCAGGGCCTGTGGGGAATAACTGCAGTGATGGTCATGGATAGGGAAGATGGGAAAAAGGCAGAGGTCAAGTTCTGAATCCATATGGGCTCAGGAGTTTAGAATCTATCCTTACGCAACTAGGAAGCAGTGAAGACTTTTGGGCAGGGATGCAGCAAAATCAAATCTATGTTGTAGAAAGATTGTCCTGTGTCATGGAAGCATAGGGAGTGGGCAAGGAGACGGGATGAAAAGAGCCCAGTTAGGAGGCCATCACAGTAGCCTGTTCTACCACCTCAGATTCCTCCTCAGAGGCCAAGGCCTCCTTAGGGCAATCAAGACAAAACGGAAGCCGGTTAACCTCGCATCATCTTAGGAATATTTACAGACCTCAAGAACATTAGGAAGATTGACCAGTTTCTGAGTGTACACTTGATAGAGCTCATGGATTGGGCAATAGAGAGTCAAGGAATTGAGGTGCTTGTGAGAGTTCAACTAAAGTCATTGACCATGAACCCCAGTAAGACAAGCAAGGGGGTCAGTTAGAGGGTCACATGGAAGAGGTGTCTGAATGCAGGAAGAGCTCAGTTATAGTATCAGTGAGGGCATTAGGATTTTGTGGGTACCCAGTGGTCACTTCTCATACTCTATCTCATGCATGAGTAAGGGGAATTTTGTTATTCCAAGCACATATGGAGGCAGAGGATAGTAGGGGCAACATAACGTCTAGAGTAAGGGATCATAGATTGAGTCACAGCTCTGCACTTACTAAACCTGAAAAACCTGAAGCAGCTCTTCACCATGCTGTGCTGCCTTCTGCGACTTTTAGAAAAAGCAGCCTGGCCACTAGTTAACAGGGAGAGCTGTGGAGGCAGTGCAGCCTTGTATAGGACACTTGACGTAACTTCTCAGTGTCTGAGTTTCGTCTTTGATGAAGTGGGGATGCTGGTATTGCCTCCCACTTGGAGCTATGAGAAGTAAATGAGATAATGCAAGCTAGCTTTCGGTATAATGCATGAAACACAGTAACTAATTAAAAATGTAATGTAAGTAACATTTTATATTATTCACACATAATCATAATTATTATTAACAACTGTAAAATGAGGATGAAAGTCTGTAGCTCTGATTGTTTCTGTAAGGATCAAATAAAGCACATAGAAAGTTGCTTTTAAAACCATTAAATGCTATATAGATGTAAGATATTAATTATGATGATGACAATGACTTATTCGTAGTGTGATGCTGTGTAGGTGCACATACAAATCTAGTGTTGTGTGTTACTTAGGGAGCATCTTATTCCTCCTGGTCGGTTGGCCTGATTCATCTTCTCTGGCTTCTCTCACTGCCTGGAATCAGCTGATACCTGCTCATCCACCTGTTTGCCCTGAGCTTGGTGTTCGGTCTGTTCTTACCACATCTGATAACTATGATGCTATTGTGATAAACACATAATGGCTGAAGTCAACATTCCCTCTGAAGGCAGCCTTGAGTGATCACTAAAGCCATTACTGTCCAGCCCTCTATGACAGAGAATACAAAGCCCAGTTGCATTTTGAGCCTCAGTACCGACAGACCCATGAAGAAATTTGTCCAAGGTCACGCAGGTTTTGGAGCCCTTTTCTGTCTGATTCCAAAGCTTGTGTTCTTTTTGCCTTGTGTTCTTTGTGCCTCTCTCTCATTGTCTCCTTTGGGGGTGACAGAAAGGGGTTGATTAGTGTGTTGGTTGGAGAAAGTTAGCAGACATCTGGTGATAAGCTCGAAAGTCCTGTTGCTGTTGCTATCAGAGCCAGTCACTGAAGGAACTGGTAATAGGCCCGTCCCGAGGGAAGTGCTAGGTATTGTCTATTTGAAAAAATATGACCGTTACTGTTCCCAGCGGTCATGAGAAGAGCTGATGTTCAGCTCTGGTAATCTTCTCCAAGTATGAATGAACACCAGGCTGGGATGACCCACAGCAAAATTATCTTCTCCCTCCCAATCTTTTTTGCTCTCAATTTCAATGAGAAGTATAAAATTCCTTCTTCTCATTGTTTCAAACCCCAGCATCATCCTCACTCCTCCTTCTGCCTCTGCCTTGATCTCCATTCAGTCCTTAACTCTGTTGATTTTCCCGTCCTGAAGTCTCCGTCTTGCAGTCTTTCTACCCCCTCCTTGGTCAGGGCCCCTGTGTCTTCTCAGGACCATGGCGGCAGCTCCTGAACTGGCCTGCCTGCTTCATCTCTGTGTCCTGTTCACCCCGTGTAGAGGCACCACCATGAGCGTACATAAGCAAAGCTCCTTTTACATTATATCCTTTCTCAAAGTACTTCATGATGTGTCCACAGAGTAAAGCCCAAGTTCACGGGCATGATGTTCAAGACCCTTCAAGATCAGGCATCTTTGTCGTTACTCACGCTGGCCAGCAACACCCTCCTCACTGTCTCATACTCATTTTTCAAGGATGGGTCACAAAGCTTTACTTGATTTACTAAGAGTAGTCAGGGATAGTCAGTCTTTCCTCTGCATGCGTATAGTCCTGGTTTGGGTGTGCTTATTTCATGTTATTTTATGTCTTCTCACTTATCTGAGTTCCCATCTTCCTATCCAGATGGCAGATTCCACATGGGCAGGGCTTGGGCTGTACCTACCTCAGCATCCCAGAGAGCACCTGTCATCCATCCCAGGGAGCAGATGTTGGAAGCCTTAATGAACCATATTCACCTGTCACTATTTGACTGCAACTGCCTAGCTAAGCCACTCAAAAAAACCAACTGCTTTTACCTCAATAACCCATATATGGAGAGCTTTTGAGCTCATGAATAGATCCTATGATTGGTTGTTTTTTTTTTGTAACTAAAATTACAGGAAAAAGAGATGTTCAGGCATAAAATCAATGAACAACACACAAGAGATAGAACAAAAGATCAGAGGAAGTTAGCTCCTCCCTCTGCAGCTAATATGGCTATTGAGCCATTTGGGGGTCATGGGTGTTTCATTTATTTGCTTATGCTATGTATTTTTGCATTCTTCTTTGACCTCTTACATTATATACATTGTAAAGTATCCCTAAATTGGGATTAAATTATTCAAGCTGTAAAGTTTTAAAATGGTAGCTTGACTATATATTACAGCCACTCCTATGTCACCAAACTGAGGAAATAATAGAGAAGACAGATATTTAAATAAGTCTATATCTACCTGATCCAGGAAAAGAAGAGGCATGGTGAATCAGGAACTGTGAAGCACCTCTGGAAGACAGAGAGCAGATGGGTGTGGACTGAATATGAAAGCAGCCTGGGATGGGTGTGAGAAGGTCACACCATGCAGATGACAGCAGCACCAAGGATGTCAGCCTGTGTTCTGGCCTGGAGGAAGCTCAGGGGACACTGGCAGGGCAGGGAGTAGGGATACACAGGGACAGGCGCCAGATGTGTTGACCCCACTTGTTGGGTAAGACAGGGGGCATCTGTTTCCAGACAAATATGGCATATGGGGCCCTTGAGCCAGAGATAAGCTCAAGGTTCAAGTCATTGGCAATGCTGGGAAGAACATTTTAGACACAGTGTCCTAAATAATTAGTAAGCAAGGGAAACCAGAGCGTGAGAGGCAGTGGTGAATAGTAGTCAGGAACCTTTGAGCTAGGAATGAAGGAGGGTCACAGAGTTAGTAATTCCACAGATAGAAGGTTTCAGCCCTGAGTCCTCAACATTTAGGGTGAGAAGCCTTTCAGTTTGCCCAGGGCAGAAGGGATTTCAGGGTCACAGGGCTGACTGTTTTTTTCCCTACTATTAATAAGATGTTTTAATAGAAAAACAAATTATTGATATTTTATACATAGCATTTTTCCCCAGAAAGTCTAGAGCAAGGAATCACTTCACATTTTCGTGCTAGTTCAGCGCAGCAGACTGGAAACAGAACTATTGAGAAAACAACTGAACTTTTGTTCACGCACAGTTGACATCCACTTGTGGCAGAATTCAAGGCTTCTCAGATGTCAATACGGAGTTGAAAGTGGTGGATACAACTTTGCAGATTGCTTGTGCTTGTTCCAGGCTGTTGCACTGATAAACCCACAGGCTGTATTCTTTGTTGCTTATGTTGGTGGTCTTCAGAGCCAGCAGGCTCCTGCCTGCCCGTAGACCAGGGTCCTAGCACACCATCTGTATGATTAAGTAGAGGGCGTGCCTGTGGAGGATGTCATACGGATCTGACGTCGATACTTTTATACCATACTTGGAAACTCCCATAATAAATTCTTCCTCCATAGGAACAAAGGGCAACTTTCCATCTTGCTGGGCAACATCTATATAATTGATCAGGTCAAGCGGCCTTTCGAGGCTTTTGCCTTCGGAGACTTTCAGCATCTCGATGGCACCGGCATATTTTATTTCAAATTCTGCACAGGTGTCTGAGGCGCTGCCGCTTTGTCCTGAGCTTTCGGTGGAATCTGTATCGGGGCTGGCAATAGCGCTGGATCGAGAAAGGCCCCAGAGGCTAGAGTCTACAGGCTTGCTCTTAGTACTGATCTCACTACTTTGGGAACTGCTACAACTGTTGTCATTTTTTGCCTTTCTGAAACATTTTTCACTGTAGCTTGATCCAGAGGAGCTCCCCTCGCAGCCCCCAGCCCATCCTTGGGGTCGTCTGTGGGTCACGGATCTCCCGCCTAGCCGGGTCAACAGGACTTTCAATGCTAAAACCAGGAAAGTCTCAGGCAAATAGGGACAGGTTGGTCACCTCACCACCATCCTTCCTCTTCTTATCTCACCAGTCAAAGCAGTGCCTCATTTGGCCTTCCTTTCAAAGCTGCTCTGGCTACTTTGTGGCTCAGTTTTTGACTTTTCCTAATGAGGGTTGTGTAGGTCTCAGATCACTTAGGTGACACATCCTGTTGCCCCCTAGAGAGGTCTATAATTTATTGTTATCACTGAGAACATTTCTAATTATATTAATGTGACATATATTGAATGAGATGTGTAATCATTATGATGCATGGGAATGAGAAGACACATTGTAATTGTAATAAGAATTTTTTCTTTTTCATAGCCAAACCAAGTTTTAGTTTTCATTTTAAATTCTCTAGGACCGAAAACCAATACTGACGTCTATGTCCTCCTCAATTACATAAATCTTCTAATCAATTCCAACATTGAATTATGTTTACTTATGTGTAGGTAAGAAGGCAAAGGTTCTGGATCTGATCTTCTAGCCATTGGAGATCTCTTGCCCCTAATTTCTCTTCATGCCCTAAGCTTGAGAGGGGATCTGTGGTCTCTTTCTGGGTACTCATTCAGCCAGACCTTGTCTTATCAGAGGGCTTCAGCAGTGGTGTCCTGTTCCCCAGTCTCAAATCATAGTCTTTATGCATTTGGAACTTTCATTCATTCATTCATTCATTCATTCATTCATTCTTTTGGTCAATCAACGAACATTCACTGAGAAACTACTATGTTCCAAAGAGTTCTGGTACTGAAGGTTTTATAGTGAACAAAGTCCCTGGTTTTAGGACACAGACCTATTCTAGTGAGAGTGGGACAGAGCTGAAATTGGAATGACAGAAGAGTCAGTTCTGCAGAGATCTGGACCTGGGGCAAAAGGGGCCTGCCTGTCAGGGGGAACACTAGGAACAAGCCCTGAGCGGAAATAAGCCTGAAGTGTCTGAGGAACAGCAAAAGACTCGGGGCAGGTCCAGGGTGGGAGGGTAGAAGCTAGAGCCATAGCCAGGGGCCAGAGCGCAGGAAGTCGTGGTGAGGAGTTTGGGTTTTATTCTAAGTTAGTGATAAATCATTTGTTACAACATAAGTTGTAAGCAGGGGAGAGATAAGACATGAATTTGCAAGTCATTCAGGCTGTGGCGGCGAGAATGCATGGAGAGGTCAGGGTGTGGAGCCTTGGTAGGCTGCCGCAGGAGGGGTTCAGGAAATGGTGGCAGTGGTGCCGGCCTGAGCGGCGGTAAAGAAGACGGAACAGAGGAAAAGAGAACAGAACATGCGGTGGAAGTACATTTTTTGGGACTTGGCACTGATGCGATGTGGGAAGGATGGTGCAGTGGGTTGAATTATGGCTTCTGAAAGATATGTCCTCTTTGAAACCTCAGAATGAGACCATATCCGGCTTATGTAATTAAGATAAGGATCTTGAGCTGTGATCATTCTGGATTAGGGTAGGTCCTAAATTCAAAGATGGATGTTCTTATGAGGGAGGGAGGGAGGGATGGAGGGAAGGAGAAAGAAGGAAGGAAGGAAGGAAGGATGGAAGGAAGGAAAGGAAGGAAGGAAGGAAGGAAGGATGGAAGGAAGGAAGGAAAGGAAGAACGGAAGGAAAGAAGGAAGGAAGGAAAGAAGGAAGGAAGAAAGGACAGGAGGAAGGGAGGGAGGAAAGAAAAAAGACAGGCAGACCCAGAGGGGAAGGCCATGTGAAGATGAAGGCAGAGACGACATTCCTTAACTTGCAGTTGTAATATTCCAATCTCCTTCAGAGCCGTCGGAAGGAGTCAACCCTTCCGCCATCCAGTTTTGGACTCCTGGCCTCCAGAACTCTAAGAATAGATTTCTGTTGTTTTAAGCCACCAAGCTTTGTGGTAAATTTGTTATCACAATGATGGAAACTAATACAGAAAAAGAGAAATCAAGAGTCCCTCCTAAATTTTTTTAATTTTTAGGTACCTAGTGACCGATGACACCTTTTATTGAGATTGGGAAGGACTAAAAGAAGAGTGAGCTTTCCTGGGGTTGGCCCTGTCTCCTGGGGGCGGCAAGCAGGCGGGGATTCCATGTGAAGTAGAATTCAGGCGCAGCCTGTGGGCCCACGGGGAGGACAGGGGCCTGCAGAGGTGGCCCCAGGGCTAGGGGCGAAGTTGCAGGGTGGGCGGGCCAAGGGCAGTGCTCGAGTAAAAGGCTGACAGGGGAGCTAGAGGTGCCTCACCCTAATCTCCCTGCCCTTGCTTGGTGTACGCACTTGAGCCTTTTACTTAATTCCTTTCAGTCTCATTTGCTTCATTTAAAAATAGAGCTTTTAAATAAAAAAAACAAATAACGTAGTACTTTTATTTCAGAGTCAAGAAGATAGGATTTATTTTATTCTGTTCCTAAGATGTTTCTCTCAAGATTAACGTTTTCCTTTTATTCCAACTCCCAATATCAAGAGGTTCAGTTGCAATGTACTAATATGGTTAAGGGGCATAACTCTTTAACAGTAGCAGTAAGCTCTGTTACCTTGCTATATTTGGGGCCTGAAAGCCAGCTGTGGTTTGAACTTGGTGACCAGACACCAAGTACCTTATATGTGTCATTTCAATTTTTTCCCCAGGAAGTTTCCAATTTTCAATTCAAGAAATTACTCCCACACCTAACACCCAATGCCTGGTCTAGAAGGGATTACTTTACTCTAACGTGTTATTTATAAGCATGTCAAAGTATGTTGCAAAAAGATTTTCAAATTGCAGAATCTAAGACAGTCTTTTCAAATCATTAAGGTGTTTGCCTCTTGCTCTCTCCATGTAAGATCACGGCTGCCATGATACAATCAAAGGAATTGTTCAACCCTCCCATGTCAGTTGCCTATAAATTTTCAAGATTCAGTCAGCAATCCCTGAATGTGCTGACAGATTCTTTAGGTTTTGGTTTCTGCGGTTAGAAAACATCTAGGAAGCTGTAAATAATCGCCTCCCTGCCTGTGCTCAAGCTGCTTTCTCTGCCTGAACCACCCGCACCCCCTTGTTACCTCCGTCCTGGCCAACTCTTATCCTTCGGAACACTGCTTTGCAGCTCCACTTCCAGGCAAATTCCTCAATTCATTCAGGAGGAGGTCGAGATGTTTGGAGAACTCTAGGCATTGGCCAGTCCCACCCCACTCCGGCCAGCTGTGACCCCACCCTCCTCTGACCTCGTTCCCAGAGTGATTTCCATCCGGCTCTCCGCTGGCTGGACACTCTGCCTGAAGTGCTCTAGTTTCCTTTGTCTTGTCCCTCTCTCCCTCCCCCACCCCTTTCTCTTTCTTTCTCAGCATTTTGATTTATACTCTGTTCACCTCTGCGCCACACCCCCGCCTCGGCACAGCCTCACAAAATCAAGACTGGAAGGGGTCCATGTGCGTGGGTGGGTGGTACATGCTTGCAGGCATGCAGGCATGCCAAGCACACAAGCCGCCATTGAATTTCAAAGTGGCTCTTTCTTTGCCCACTTTGCATGCTTGCCTTGGCAGTATGCAGCAGGCGCCACATAGATGGAACATTCTGGAACAGGAGTCTTGTTCTTCAGCTTATTTCTTACACCACCAGTTTGTCTCCTTTTTCCTCACTCCTCAAGTCTCCCCTGAATTGCCTTGCTGCTGTTTCCCACTGAAACTTCCCCTCAATCTTATAGCTGGTATCCCTGAATAACAACAATTCAGCTTGTCTCTTAACCCTGTATTCTCCTAATCATGGCTTTTGTGCCATGACAATAGACTCTTGGATTATCTTGGATAAGATACTTCTGAGCTCAGTTCATTCTCTAGAATTCGTCCTATAATCTGTGTTCGGCCTGGCTTGTCTTTATTAACGGGGCATTTTTCACATTGACAGTAACGCGGGGAATAAGGAACTCCAGAGATACTATACTCTTTCTAGAGAGACAAAGATTTAGACAAAGATATGTGGTGCTCCAGCTTATTTACTCATCAGGTTCTGTGGGGACTGTGCTTTAGGGTATAGAAAAACTACCCGTGCTTTGCAGGCTCATTTCATGAACAGCTATAGTTTGGGGAGCTACGGATCCACGTGGGACCCCATTGCATGACGGCACAACGAGGGAGAAGCGTAGCTGTAAAACTGTAAAACAGTTTTTTTTTTTAAGTCAAGCGGGAAAATCAGGTAAATCACCTCCAAAATCCATTCTATATAGTCACATCTATGTCACATTGATAATTTTATTGCTAACATAATTAAAAGACATCACTGTAACAACCTAGATTATTGAATGCTGGAGTTCCAAGGGCCTTAGGGACCATCTGGTCTGGTGTTTTCCAAAGTGGGAGACTGGACCCCTGGTGGCATGTGGGGTCATTTTTGTGAGGTGTGTGTGGCTACAATGCTCAGTACCATTGACTCACATACTGGGAAGCATTCTCTTCGTCAGCCTTCTGATGAGCTGCAATTTGGAGCCAGAATGTCCTTATCACTTCTCCATTACTTACTAATCATCTTTATTTATTCATTTCTTCATAAATAAATAAAAAGAAAACCCCAGGCTCAAAACCTTTTGTCGGCAACCTCTCTCTCAGAAGAGTCCCATAATGCCTCTGCTGTCGCTGTGATTATTTTTCATGGGCCGCATCTACACGTGGCAAGGGATTTTTCCCTTTCTGTTTAAGGTGGTGAGATAAGGTTTCCACTTACAAACACTTATATAAATACAAATCTAAGTTAATTCAAAGGAAAATACCACTAATTGGGACCCGCAGAGTCTCAAGTGCTGGAAAATCAATGGTGAAAAATGAAGACACAGTCCCCATTTTTTAAAATGCGGTCCATTTGTTTCACCTCACAGTTTTCATTTCTTGCCTTTGTCCCTCCAATTTGAAGCTTCTGGGAATCATTTCCACCTAATATGCGACTTAATTCTTCCTTGTGGCAAGGAACTCCTCAAGCATACATGGTGCCGTGGGAAGCCAGGCGAGGGTGGGGTGTGTCAATTCAGTTCAGTTGGAGGCCAC